GCATCAGCAAACACAAGTTGTTATTATAGGTACTCTATGTTATGAACCTAACAAACCAACCAGTTCTCTACAATGACTAACCTTAAAATCTATCGATGAAATGCCCTAATTGCTATAAACTGTAGCTCCATCAAAGTTTTGATTAAAAAAAATCTCAAAGCCAAAAGCACAATACAAATTAATAAATGAAAAAACTTCTGTTTCTTCCAACTACATACAATGCTCTTATCTATGTGTAACACAAACAATGAACATTATATAACTAATTGGCACTTCCCCTTTGACGAAATTCCTATATCTACCCTGTATATAAGAAAGAATGGAGGTTTAGTTATTTACCTCTCTTCTTGCCATGTGGCTTTGTAATAGCTTGACAAATGGCATGACTCTAATATTTCTTACCCCTTGCACATCTTTTTTTTTTCTTTGTTCATGCCAAACCTAGAATAGCAAGAAGGGTGGTTTGGTTCTTTGCCTTTTTTCTTGCCAAGTGGCTTTCTAATAGCTTGACAAGTGACATGGTTCTAATATTTCTTACCCTAGTGCATTTTTTTCCCTTTTGTTCATGCCAAACCTAGTATTGCAAATAAATGAAGCCGCTTGCGAGAGCTCTTAAATTGGTTCCGTCAAATCTTGACTCGAATTCAGTCAACATCGAACTTGAGTCAAATTTGAGCTAAGTTCAAGCATAGAAAAACTCAACTCATTAGTTTGTCAACTGCTCGATTATATATATATATATATATATATATATATATATAATCAAGCTTGACTTGACTTTAATTTGAGGCCGAACTCGAGTTCAAGTTTTACATTGAGAGTTCATCGAATTCGAATTCAAACTTAGTAAAATTGAGTTGAGACTTGAGTCGATTAGGCCAAAACTTGACTTGACCCGACTCATTAGCAATTTTAGCAAAACCAAATAAGTCCAGCCCGTGTCCTTTTTTATCCCAATAATTTTTTTGAATTTAATTATTAGATAAAATGGGAGTGTTGTCCAATTCATCATCATTAGATTAGTTTTACAACATTAAATACTCCATTACAGCTGTTAGATCATTTTTCATTAAACCCTAATGTAATTCAACTTTGCAAAAAACCAGTTGATTGATGCGACGTTACTGGGTTCACTGGCTAATTCAGTTGTTGTATCGGTACTGCCACTATCTCCTCTCTAATTTTTCCTATCCAAACCAGCTTTCCCACATTTCTTTCTTTTCAAATGTACTTGATCTAGTTTTAGCCATAAATTAACCTAGGGATGAAGGAAAGGATGGATTTAGTGCCCCATTTGTTGAATTTTCCCAATGAACATCGCTATTCCTTTGCCATAACAGAGAAAACAACAAGTTGTTATTTGGTTCTTGCTCTAGTGATTTCTTCATCTAGTATGCTTTCTTCCTTTTGTTTTTTTTTTATTATGTTTCACTTGCCTTTTTCCCCTCAAGATTGGGACTTTAGGATTTCCCCATTTTAAATTTATGACCTTTATTGGTGAAAAGGAAGATATTAGTGTTCTGCATGATTCATTTTGAGCTCATGTTAGCCGAGTAAAGAACCAAAGTTAGATTCACTACCCCTTTTTCTTTTGATCCACATCGATTGGCTTTTTCAATTAGCTCCCAACCACAAGAATTATATTTCCCTAGAAGCTATTCCATAAAACTCTTCAAGGACAGCATGGAGCTAATTATCAATAAGGGAGGTTTATTCTGATCTAACCCTTTTATAAATTGTCCTCTGGCCTTGGTCATTTTTTTCTTAGGGTTGTTTTCCTAACAATAATAATTATAAGTTGGATTTCATGAGGCTAATTAAGAAGGGAACTCACATAAGAATTAGAGGGCTTTCTTTCCCCCTTCATATTTCTCAAGATAAGGGATGTGTACTAGAAATAATCATATTATCTTGCTTGGTTATACACTGTGTGCTCTTCTTTCTATCAATTTGTATGAATTTTCTTCTTTTATGTTCTATATATCAATAATATTTTGCTTATTGTTTGTCTTTTAATTGATTTTGTTTTAGTACTCATAAGTTTAATTGCTTCTTTTGGTGTTTGGTATGTAGGAAAAGAAGAGTTATCTAGAAAGCAAGGCTACGGAGTTCTACATTTAGGTATGTTTTCCTCTTATTTTATTGTTGCTTGCTAGATGTTCGATGGTTTGCTTTTGATAGCATGATATCAGTATCCTTGGTCAATTTTGCTTTAGATACTCTCTTTATGAGTCCTACTTGAAGTAACTTTCTTGCACTCAATAAACTCTGCCATATCCATGAGGAGTTCTTAGGAACCTCAATAGTAAGTGTTGGCTTGTCTGGGAGATATTTACCTCTTATCGCTTTGCGAATCAAAAGATTTGGTTTGGTCTAAACCCCCCATAGTTGTGTGGCCAGCATTGCAGTATTGAACTATTGAAGATCATGGAAACCCATGTCCCCACTTTCCTAAGATCTTCACAGCTGATTCCAGCTAATGCATTTTTTGCTTCTCATCATCACTACTCCACCAATAGTCAGCCATTTTCTTGCAAATCTCTTTACACAGTTTCTTAGACATGTATTATAGTTTCTTTAACAAACTAAAACAGTACATGCAATTGGTAGGCATAGCCATAATTAGTGACTTTAACATTATATTGTCATTGTGTTTTCTGTTAACTTAATGCATTGAACAAAGCTATCAAAACTATCAAATGAACATCCAACTTCCAGAACATCTGAGAACACCCTAATGGATGGGATTTATTTAGGGTCATGTAAGCAGGAAGCCCATTCAAAGGAAATGATTTGCGCTGTTGGCATCATTAGGATTCCATAGCCAAGACAACCTTTATTTGCTTTATATGAAATTAATAGTATCAAGGTTTTCAGGCTTTATGTTTTCATTTATTGGCAATATTTCTGTCTTTATTAGGGCCTACATACTTCACGAAAGGTTATGTAGCTGGGAGGTAGAAGTAACCAATTGCATGATGATACCACTTTCAGCTTAATACGTCTTGCTTGATATTGTCAATTCTTATTCTTGGTTCATAGACTTTATCCATTCTTGTTTGAAATGCTTGTGTTGTGAAGCTCCAGTCTTCACGAATATTGTAAAACAAGAAATAACCACAACTAATAGGTTTATCACATTTAGCTAATAATGACCAAGTAACAAACTAAAAGCTGAGTTGGGACTAACTTTATCAATACACTATGAGTATCTGTTCTTGTATCATTGTTTGAATATTAGACCAAGTAACAACTGTTAGGTTTGACCCCAGGAAATTGGTGAAAGGGTTCTTGACAATTCCAAAACAAATAACAAAGCAAAAATAAATGAAACACGAACATAAGAATTTATATGATTTGACTAAATTGACCTACGTTCATGAGCGGAAGAAGAGTAGAATTCCGCTATGAAAGTACAAAAAAAAACCTTAGGAAAGTGTTTTTAGATCCAAAAAACACCTAATATCAAAACATAAGAGAGTCCAAAATATTTTTACTTAACAAAAGACTTAATAACTCAAAGGTCCAAATAACCTACTAAAACTCTTTTGGTTTGATGCGTACTTAATCTCATCACAGGCGCACTCTATTTAGAACCAACTAAGGGAAAGACTCCCTTGTACAAAACATGATAAAGGACAAAATCACACATAACAAATCTTCATCTTGGTGTGTCCTCAACATCGACAATTGCAAATCTGCTCCACCTTCTCCACATAAGTTCCAATTTGCCTAAATCACCAATAACGAATACCAATCAAGTACAAGCACTGCTTGAACTTGTAAATTGGAAGAGGTTTCATCAACATATCAGCAGGATTCTCCTTGATATTAATGTTCTGAACGAGAGCTTTCCCCTCAGCAATAGCATCTCGAATGAAGTGAAATTTCACATCAATGTGTTTTGTCCTCTCATGAAACACCTTAATGTGGATTTAACTCAGGGGCGGATTTAAGGTGGGGGCTGTGGCTCCAATGCCCCCCCTTAAATTTCTATAATACTTATACAATTTTGACATAATTTTAAAGGAGTCCCCAGAGTTTTATTTAGAAAAACTGTGAAAGAATGAGTCACAAAATTTATATCATTCACTTTCCTCCTCCGGTCCCCCATTTCCCCCCAACAGGGCCAAGTACCAATTATATCAGTCATTCCTTTTGGTCCCCACTCCCCAAGTTTCCTTTCCTCCTCTGGTCCCCCATTTTCCCTTCACAACCGACGGCCCCTCTTTCTTCCACACCCAAGCTAACTATTTTTTCTTTTTATCACTTCATCCAATCATATAATTTACTTCCTTTGTCCCCGCTCCCCAATTTTCCTTTCCTCCTCTGGAGTTTGGTCCCCCATTTTTCCCCCAACAGGGCCATAATCGAGAGCCGTTTTTTCTTCCACAACCAAGCTTGTTACTTTTTCTCTTGATCACTTCATCCGATTTAGAGATTGCACCAGAATCAATTGATCTTCTGGGACCTGGTTCCGCCACTGATTTGCAACTCTTTTCACCAACCTTAGGAGACCATCAAAATCAGGTTCTAAACAATTACTTCTTATTATTATTAGTTTGAATTTGTTTGCAAATATATTTCTAGAGCATGAGACTATAACTATTTTAAAGAAATTTGAAAATTGATTAGTTAATGTAATAACTAATAAATGGGTTATTTGATAAATATTTTAACTTGTGAAATGGTGCTTTTATGGATTTATAATTTATTTTTTATTTTCCTTCATTAGTTTCTTATATTGGAGTTAATGTAATGATGAATAGAGGGTCATTTGACATATATTTTAACTTTTAAATTATTCTTGTATGGATCCTTTTGTCTAATTAACTTGATTAGGTTCATATGTTGTGATTAATGATATGATATAGTAATGAATAAATAAGTCATTTAATAAATAACTTTAACTTGTGAAATAGTTCTTGGATAGATTTTATTGTACATTTAATATTTTAATTGGATTAGTACCTTATTTATTGATTTTAATTTCTTTAGCTATGGAGAGATATTTCAAGAGGAAATCAATGGAAAAAGAATCATCCAATAAAGAAGAAGCCAAGGATAATGAAAGTGCAAAAAAAGACAATAAAAGAAGTTGCATGGGGATTAACTTAGATGAATTACCTGCTGATCCAGCCCAAAGAAAAAAAATTGGGGATTATCATCCAAACCTTCAAGATGAAATTCGGAGATATTACTTACAAAAGGGACCATGTCAACTTCGTGAGCATGTTTTTCCACAAAGAAAGATAGGAAAAAAGATGCGTCGATTTGTTCGCGGCTGGTTTGATGATTACAAGAATTGGTTAGAATATAGTATTGAAAAAGATGCCGCTTATTGCTTATGTTGTTATCTATATAGACCAGATGTGGGCGAACAATCTGGTGGTGATAGTTTCATTAAGGAAGGATTCACAAATTGGAAAAAAAAGGATAGATTTGATGTTCATGTTGGTGGTCCTAATAGCGCATACAATCTGAGGTGGAGTAAATGTCAAAGTTTATTAAATCAAAATCAGCACATCGAAGTGGCATTTTTTAAGTAATCAGAGAAAATGAAGACTGAGTATCGGACTCGTTTATTAGCCTCAATAGTTTGTGCTAGATTTCTCCTACACCAAGGTTTGGCTTTTCGTGGTCATGATGAATCTGATATCTCTGAAAATCAGGGAAATTTTCTTGAGCTTTTGCACTTCCTTGCGAGATAATGATGATATAAAAAAGGTTGTTCTTGAAAATGTCCCCAAAAACTCATTGCTCCAGATATTCAAAAGGATATTTCAAATGCTTTGACAAGTGAGACTACAAGCATTATTGTAAATGACATTGGACATGGATTGTTTGCTATTTTATGTGATGAATCTCGTGATGCATCAACAAAGGAGCAATTAGCAGTTGTTATTCGTTACGTGGATTCACATGGATATGTGATTGAGCATTTTCTTGGTATTCTACATTTAAGAGATACTACTGCTCTTTCACTTAAGAAAGCAATTGATGTTTTATTTTCAAAGCAGGGTTTGAGCATATCACAAATCCATGGTCAAGGTTATGATGGTGCTAGTAACATGCGAGGTGAATACAATGGTTTAAAAACTTTGATCATGAAGGAAAATGGTTTTGCATATTATATTCATTGTTTTGCACATCAGCTGCAATTGTCACTTGTAAGGGTTGCAAAGAAACATGTCCAAGTCTCTTCTATGTATAATACATTGTCTACCTTAGTGCATGTTCTTGAAGGTTCATCTAAAAGACAAGAAATTCTTAAAGAACAATGCCTTAAGAAAGTCGTCGATGATCTAATGACTGGAGATCTTGTGAGTGGTCGAGGCTTAAATCAAGAAACTAGCCTTCAAAGAGCTTGTGATACATGTTGGGGTTCACATTTTGGCTCGTTGTTAAAGTTGGTTCTTATGTATGATTCTGTAATAGATGTTCTTTTGATAATTGAAAATGATGGTCTGGTGGAGTAAAAAGGTCGAGCATATGAACTTCTTAATTCTTTGCAATCTTTTGAATTTGTAATCATTTTACACTTGATGAAGAAAATCATGGGAATAACGAATGCACTATTTGAAGCATTACAAAGGAAGGATCAAGATATTGTGAATGCTATGGGTTAGGTCAAAGTTTCCAAGCAAAAATTACAAGCTACTAGGGATGATGGATGGGATTTTTTACTTGATGAAGTTTGTTTGTTTTGTGAAAAACATGAGATCATCATTCCAAAAATGAATGAAATATTCATTACTAGTGGGAGATCTCGAAGAAAAGTTCAGCAAATTACAAACCTTCACCACTATCGAGTTGAGCTATTTTGTGCTATGATAGATTTACAACTCCAAGAACTCAACAATCGTTTCAATGAAATCAATATGGAGTTGCTTCTTTGTTTGGCATGCTTGAACCCAAGTGATTCCTTTGCAGCATTTGATTAGAACAAGTTGATTCATCTTGCAGAACATTATCCTTGTGAGTTTTCTAAGTTGGATATTCTTGCACTTGACACTGAATTGGATACTTATATTAATAACTTGAAATTAGCTAAGGAATTTCTCGATTTAAGAAAAAATCTCTGATCTAGCTCAAAGGTTGGTAGAGACTAAGAGAGATATTGTGTATCCATTGGTTTATATGCTCTTTAAGTTGGCTTTGATTTTGCCTATTGCTACAGTTACAGTAGAAAGGGCTTTTTCAGCTATGAATATAGTGAAAAATCGGTTACAAAATAGAATGGGAGACACTTGGATGAATGATTGTTTAGTTACTTATATTGAGAAAAATATACTTCATGAAGTTGAAAATGAGAAAGTTGTAAACCGTTATCAAAATATGAAAACTCATCGTGAACAATTGTAAATAGTTTAGTTTGTTTTGGAAATAAAATTATTATTACATTAATAATTTTGAGTTTGTCTTTTTATTATTTTTCATGGAATATACATATCATTTGTACTTGTTGGTGAATTTATTTATTTTTTTGCTTAAAAAATTAGAAAAAGAATAGTTAAAAAATTTTAGTGTTATTTTTGCCCCTACTAAGATTTTTTTCTAGCTCCGCCATTGATTGAACTCGCCAAACAAAATCTTTAACCACAAGGCTTTTTTTATTGTTTCAATCACAGCCATATATTCTGCGTCCATAGTAGATAAGGTTACAACAAGTTGTAAAGTAACTTTTCAACTAGCTACACAACTACCACTGCAAAATACATAATCTGGAAGTGATATTTTTCTATCAAGATCACCGGCATAGTTAGAGTCCACAAAATCAATCAAAGTGTCATAATTTCTCCCAATTCTAAGCAACTATTTGAATTTTCTCGCAAGTATTTGAGAATCCAGTTCACAACCTACCAATATGCTTTTCCAGGATAAGACATATATCTAATAACAACATTGATTGCTTGTGCAATATCTGGATGGATACAAACCATCACATACATAATATTGTCAACTACACTGGAATAAGAAACCAATGCCATATAATCTTCCTCTTCAACTATGGTAACTGAGTAACAGATAGACAAAAATAACTAATAAGAGAAGCAATCACAGATTTAGCATTTTTCATGCCAAATTTCTCGAGGACTTTATCAAAATAATTTTTCTGGGTCAAGAATAGTTTTACAATTCCTCAATTTCTCTTGATCTCCATGCAAAAAATTCTTTTAGCTGCTCTCAAATGTTTCATGTCAAATTCACTACTTAACTGTAATTTTAAAGTGTGGATTTTTGACAAATTTTTAGCGGTGATGAGTATGTCATCAACATAAAACAACAAATAATCCATATAAGGATTTCTTTAACAAATAAACATAGTGTTCTTTAACTATCATACATATTCCTTGAATAATCATAACACAATATGAAAGAATCAAAGCTCTTATACTACTATGTTGGAAACTGCTTCAATCCATATAAGGATTTCTTTAGCAAGCAAATATAGTGTTCCTTTCCTTTAATTTCAAATTCCTGAGGTTACTTCATATAAATTTTCTTTTCAAGTTCATCATGTAAGAAAACTGTCTTAACATCAAACTACTCCGAGTCCAAATCATACTTGACAATTAAATCAGGCAAAACATGAATAGAATTATATTTAATAACAGGTGAAAATACATTATTAAATCAACATCGTGTACTTGACTATATCTTTTTGCAGCCAATCATGCTTTGTGCCCTATATTTTCAACCCCTGGAATACATTTTTTCTTCTTAAAAACTCATTTGCATTGAACAGTTTTTTTATCTGAAGGCGGTTTCACAAGAATGCAAGTTTCAATTCGGTGGAGTGATTCAATTTATATGCAAAATCAATCACTTCGTAAAATCATCGCAAGAGATTGCCTCTGAATAGGTAGTAGGTTCACCAATTCCATCATTTTCTTTTGCAACAGACAAAGTATATACAACCAAATCTGCATATTTTTGTAGTCTTCAAATATCCCTCCTTGGTCTATCTTTGACTATGGAAAGTTGCTCTTCTTCTGAATTATTTTCATCAGTAGGTTCAAGTGCATTTACTGATATTTATTGAATAGAAAGATCAGGACTATCAATCTCAAACTCTACTTGCTTCTACATACTATCATTTGCATAACAAGAATTAGAAAATTTCTTCTTGAAAGATAACATAGAGAATTTATAAAAAATAACATATTTACTGATCATAAATTTAAAAGTTTAGGATTAGAACACTACAACCTATACCCTTTTATTCCAAAAGCATACTCAAGAAAAATACATTTTTTAGTTTGAAACTCCAATTTTCATCATTGACATGCAGGTATATTGGACAACAAAAAACTTTTAAATCAAAATAATCAGCAGGAGTACTTGACCATATTTTCTCAGGAGTTTTGAAATCAAGAGCTACAGAAGGAGCACAGTTGACAATGTAACAAGTCATAGAGATCGTTTTTGTCCAAAAGTCCTTTGTCAACCCTTCATTAGAGATTATGCACCTTTCTCTATCCAAAATTATTTTGTTCATATGTTTGACCATACCATTTTGTTGAAATTTCATCCTGACAGTGTGGTATCGAATAATTCCTTCATTCTTGCAAAACTCATCCAATTCACCTTTGCAAAATTTCGTGTCATTATCTGTTCTAAACCGCTTGATCTGTCTACTTATCTGTTTTTCAATCAAAACTTTCTATTGCTTGAAAGTGAGGTAAACATCATTCTTTTATTTAATAAAATAAACTCAAACTTTTCTTGAATAATTATCAATGAAAGTCAACATATACTTGATACCACTCTTAGAAAGAATACGAGTTAGACCCCATAAATCTGAATGAATATAATCTTGAATGACACCACCAATTTTGTCTTATGAATTGCTAGTGAAACGAAACTAACTCTTTTTTGTTTCTCAAAAACACATTGTTCATAGAATTACAATGGCTCAAGACTCTGATCGCAAAAAAGTCCCATTTTGCTTAGTATGCCAAAGCCTTTCTCGCTCATATATCTCAAACGCATATGCCATAATTTGGTGATATCAAAATCAGATAAAGATGATGACAAAACTGCAATCAAACTTGTGATAGTAGATCCTTACAATACAAACAAATACCAGACTTGTGAGCTTTCAAAACAACAAAAGCACTTTTAGAAACCTTTATAATGTAGTTTTTAATTGTGTATTTGCACCTACGAAACTCCAAAGTGCCCAAAGAGATGAGATTCTTTTCCAAATCCGGAACATCTCTAACATTAGTGAGTGTCCTCACAATACCATCATGCATTTTAATTCGGACTGTACTCTTACCAACAACATTACAGATAGCATTATTTTCCATCAAAATAATTTTGCCATTATAAGGTTCATAAGTTAAAAACAAATTTTTATTGGGACACACATGATAAAAACACCTTGAATCTAAAATCTATTCATTTTTAGACCTTGTCCTGTCATCAGTCACAAAAAAAATATTTTCATCATTCTCAGATGCAACAAGAGTTTTGGCAGTTTCAGTATTTTTCTCATCAGGTTTCCCCTTTTGATTTAATCTATTTTTTAATTTAAAGCAATTTGCCTTAATGTGTCCTATTTTGTGACAATAATTGCATTCCAAATTCCTATATCTGAATTTAGATTTAGATTTAGATCTACTAATGTCAAATTCTCTCTTATCAGTTCTGCTCCTAGCAACCAAGCCTTCCGCCTGACCTTCATTAATTTTTTTGATAATATTCTTGTCTATCTGCTACTTAGATTTTAATGTAGATTTAATTTTTCAATATAAAATTATTTCTTGTTCATAAATCATAGTGTTACGAAAATATTTAAAGGACTGAAGAAAGGAGCACAAAAGTAACAGAACTTGATCCTCATTACCAATTTTTGAGTCTATATTCTCCATATTCATAATAATTAAATCAAATTTATCAAGATGTGAGAGTATAGATGTACCTTCAGTCATCCGAAACATCTACAGACTTTTTTTTTTAAAATAAAAGTGATTCTCAACTTTCTTCTTCATATACAAAGTTTTAAACTTGTCCCACATAGTCTTAGTTGAAATTTCAATGGCTACCTCCTGCAAAATTTTGCCAGAGAGATTTAAGATAGTACTAGATCTAGTCTTCTTATTCATCTCAATACAATTTGTATCTGTCACACTCTGGCTTTTTCTCGACTCCCTGTATCACTAAATCAACTTCGTCTTGAACCAAAATAGCTTCCATCTTGAGCTGCCACATCCCGAAGTTGACATTCTTGTATAAATTTCTCGACAACAGTCTTTGTTATTGTCATTGTTACCACAGAACCCAAAGTTTTCAAAGAAATTCTGATACCAATTTGTTAAGTCTAATCCCAAGAAATTGACAAAAGTTTTCTTGAAAATCCCAAAAGACAAATAATAAAATAAAAATAAATAAAATAAAAACACAAATTTATGTGGTTCGATCAAATTGACATACATCTACGTACAGAAGAGAAGCAGAATTCCACTATGAA